GATGTATTTCACAGATACAGAACAAACATTTCAAAAATTTATATGGAACCATAAATGACCCTGAATTGCTGCAACAATTTTGAGAAAGAAGAAGAAAGTAGGAGGGATTACAATACCTGACATCAAACTATATCACAAGGCCACTGTAATCAAAACAGTCTGGTACTGGCATAAGAACAGACACATAGATCAGTGGAACAGAATGTAAAGCCCAGAAATAAACCCATGTCTCTATGGTCAATTAAGATTCACCAAAGAGGGCAGAAACATAAAATGGAGTAAAAATAGCCTTTTCAACAAAATGGTATTGGGAGATCTGGACAGCTACATGCAAAAAATTGAAGTTCAACTACCAACTTACACCATACACAAAAATAAACTTGAGATGGATAAAAGGTTTAAATATAAGTCACAACACCATTAAAGTCCTAAAGGAGAGCATAGGCAGGAGATTCTCAGATATTCCATGCAGCAATATTTTCACTGACAAGAGACATAAAGGAAAGAATAAACAAATGGGACTTCATCAAAATAAGAAGCTTCTACATGGCTAAAGAAAACATCAGCAAAATGAAAAGAGAAATGTATGGGAAAATATATTTGCCAAGGATACCTCAGGGATTTGATGTCGGAAATTATAAAGAACTCACACAACTCCACTCCAGGAAGACAAACAATCCAATTAAAATATGGGCAAAGGACCCGAATAGACACTTCTCCAGGGACAGACACAGGGCCTAGAGACATATGAAAAGATGCTCAGTATTACTATCCATTAGAGAAATGCAAATTAAAACCACAATGAGATACCACTTCACACCAGTCAGAATGGTCATGATAAACAAACCAACAAACCACAAGTGCAGGCGAGGTTGTACAGAAAAGGGAACCCTAGTGCACTGTTGGTGGGAATGCAGACTGGTGCAGGCCACTGTGAAAAACACTTTGGAATTCCCTCAAAAAGCTAAAAATGGAACTGCCTTTTGAGCCAGCAATTCCACTGATGGGATTATACCCTAAGAATCCCAAACCACCAATTCAAAAGAGTCTATGCACCCCAATGTTCACAGCAGACCAATTTACAATAGCCAAGTGCTGGAAGCAACCTATGTGCCCATCGATAAATGATTGGATCCAAAAGCTATGGTACATTTACACAATGGAAAACTTCAGAGCAGAAGGAAAGAAAGAGCTACTACCCTTCGTGACAGCATGGATGGAGCTGGAGGGTGATCTGCTGAAGGAAATAAGCCAGGGAGTGAAAGACAAATACCATGGGATCGCACCTATAAGTAGAACCTAATCAACAAAACGAACAAGCAGGGAAAATATAACTAACAACATTGAAAGAAAAAGCAAACTGACAGTAATGAGAGGGGAGGAGGGAGGGGGTAATGGGGAAAGAAGGGGAAGGGTCAAATCAAGGAACATGGACAAAGCCAAAGTGGGGAAGGATTGAGGATAGGAGGTGGGGTGGGTGGGTCAGAAGAAGGTGGTGGCAGGAAAATGGAGACAAATTTATTTGAACAATAAAAAATAAGAAAAAAAAGAAAATAACAGCAAAACCAAAAGTCATCCCCATAATAATGGGTCAGTGTTTCATCTTTAGGATTCCACAACATTCCTAAACACATCTTTACCTCAGTCATTCCCTCTTGTATATTGTTTGGAAACTATGTCAATTCTAAATTTGAGTGCATTATTTACTTTAAAATAATAGGGGAAAAGGCATAGGTCCAGTTCATACCATTTGAGCAAAATAAAAGTTTTGACAAAAATTTAGAGAAAATGGAAAGGAACTCTGCAACAAAATGTAAAAAAAGTCAATAACAATATTTTTATCTGCCTTGTAACCCAATTTTGTGAAAAACATTTGAAACAAATATTAATCTTATTTTTTAAAGAAAATTTATATTACTTATATAATGTGGAAAACATCTGGAGAAGTAGCAAGTGTTGGTTTTCAAATGCATCCAACAGACACACTAGTAAAATTTTTTTGTAGGAGACACTAAAGACCATATTAGCTATGTGGGATATAAAACAACAACAAAAAGTAAATATTAAAATTTTCTTTAAAGTTCCAAGTTTGTTTGTGAACAACTCCTAAAATTTTCTATGTTTGAAATTACATTTGCCTTCTGAAAAGAAATAAAACCACACCACTAACTTCACTTCCAATAAAATGACTTCTGTCAGGACTTAAAGTAATATCTGTGTGGTGACATTTCAGCACCAAAAAGGATGACCTCAAAAGGCTGTGTCATTCCAATCCTAATGACAGCCAGAGCCAGCCTGTTAATTAATGCCTGGGGTGGAATGTAGATTTTTATGTTTCTACAACTAAATATTACACATATAGCAACACAAGAGACTTTTCTTACAAAAAAACCCAGCCCTTCAATTATCTTAGATTATTGCAACCAGAAGAATGAACCTGTAAATCTACTTAGGGAAAAAAATACATTCTATATGATGTTATTCTTATGTAGAAGGGAGAACATGAAAAAGTATTGATTTCATCTGAGTGTGTCAATTTTAAAAACGGGGAAGACAGTCACTGTCTTGCAGCCTCTCTAGGCCAGAAGGGTTCACTCGAGACTCAGGCATACAGAAGAAAAGTCGCGGAGCCATGGGGGTGCTTGATATGCCTTTATTCACAGCTGGGTGAGCCATGCATACTGCAAGTTGAATGTGCTAGCGGGGAGCCCCTACCCCCTAATATACTGGAAACAGAGAAAGCTGACAGGGAGCCAACAGGGTTGTATAACAGTGAGATTCTGCACCTGGGAGCCTACTCAATGTTATGGGAACTATTTATGGGACCCCAGCTGCAGGCTATGGGAATATTTACTGGGCCCAGTTTCAAGGCTATGAGAACACTGCTTATCTTAGTTCCCCAGACACCTGGGTGAGGAGGCCAGATTGCCTCTGTTCACCCTGCAGTCACTTTTAACAAGCATTAAGAACATTGAACTGCTGCTGTAAGAGTCCCTCTCTTATTAAAAATATTCGGTGCATGTGAAGACAGAGAAATACATTTTTTCTCCGTGGAGAGGGTGGCTCACGTGGTGAGTTCTGTACCTGCTGCTCTTACATCATCTCTGGGTCTGAGCAGGTGCCTGAATCCTTCACAAGACTCTCCAAATTGCCTTGTATTTCACATGGAATCTAAAATTTTTATTCTTTCTGAAGTTTACTTTTAAGCTTTAGGAGCCAACCTTTTTTAAGAATGAAGAATTCTTCCAAATATTTCCTTTCCAAACATTAAGGAAGCTAGTTTTAGAGATGGTTGATGCATATTTCTTGTTTCCTTCTACAGGACTTGGAAGGATACAGGACTCTGTATCTTTAATGGAAAATAAAATCATTTTTCTTGAGTCATTATTAATTTCCATTATTTTGCCCTATTATTTATTTTTCTACTATATTAATAAACTATAGTTTTGACAGATGACCTACTTTTTTCCCAGTCAAATAACCGAGGGAACCAAAAGCAAGAAGCATAGCTTTTATTTCTCTAGTTATCTTAGTTAGGCATTGTCATTTTGGGTCTTTTTCTACAGATTCTATAAAGGCTGTATCAAACGGTACCTTGATTGAAATTCTTGAGAAACATTTTAACTGCATTTAATAAGTAAACTTTTCACTCTTTACTCTTATTTTGAATTAAATTTTCCTTGGTATAAGTCTCTGCTTTCATGGATGTTACCCAACCCAATTCAACATGGTGCACATAGAGCCCATCCCAGTTTGTGATGAGGTGTAACCATCTAAATTCTAAAAAGAAAAACTCATTCTACTTAAATACAATTTGAAGCTCACAATGTGAGACCCAGGAGCTGGGATAATTATACACCATTTCTATGGAAAACTGGTGGGCTGCACATAGCACTTGTACACTAATCTTCAAAACTCCAAAATCCTCTATGGTATATCAATGACAAGCTCACAGGTGGCATCACACAGAGTCTGCTGCCACAAAGTTTTCCCATGATACCTGCGACATCCATCTTGTAGGATTTTGGTGAGAATGAGGGGAGATTTATGTAAATGCAGAGCGTGGGTTAGAAGTACTAATAAACAACTAGAAAACTAAGCAAACCAACCATCAAACAAATAGCATCCTACAGTTATTTCCTGAAAGGAAATTAAAAAATTGGCCTAAAAGGAAATGTGAACTTCATGACTCAGGCACAAACAGCATTTCTGTCATTGTTACATATCACCACGGATTGTGTGGCTACAGCGGAACAATAGTGAGGAAGGCAAGCAGGAGAGAGGGGTCAATGGTGCAGGCAGGAGGCTGAGAGAGCTTTAAGTCCTCACCTTCCAGAGAGGTGAGTCGATAGCTAATGATTAGAAATCAAAAAGCAGCCTTATAACAAAGTCACACACATACAGGGGTAAAACCAGAGAATCTTAAAAGAAGTGAAAGTACCTCTAAGAAACAGGAAATGGAGGAGGGGTGTGACAGCTTGATGTTTTTAAATTAAAAAAAAAACAACACCCTTATAAAACTTTGTGCTCTTTTAAAATACAGATTTTAAAAATGAGAAATGAATAACAAGTCTTATAACCTGAGTGTTTAAGAATTTATGCAGAGGGAGGAGGTGCACTCTCATCTTTCTTTGTGTTTGTGTCTGTATTTAGGTGTGGGGGAGTGAGTGGGTTTTATCTTTTTATAGGTAACATGGGGGAAGTAATCAAACTTTTGAATCAAGAACTTCTAAATGTTAAAATTTGAAATTGTTCGCATCTAATGTTCTGGGACAAAGCACTCACCACAGACAAGCTTTTGTTTGAAGTCTCCATTAAGAGATCTTCAGAACTTATCCCACGAGTTTGATAGCTGCATGGTCTGTCTTTTAAGTGGGTTACAGCTGTCCATCTGCTGAGACACATACAGTGAATGGGACAGTCCATCTTATGGCTCCTCCTCCTCAGATCTGCGAGGAAAATAGTGCCTCCTTGGCCAGAGCCGACCTATGATTTCTGACCTCCCAATGGCTTCTTTCTGGAGTATGGAGGACTTCGGCCCGCGAAGTCCCCAGATTTGCAGCGGATGGAAGAATTGTTCCAGACGCCGTTTGTCTGTCAAGGAAAGGGGAAGGCGATTCCCTCTAATGAGGAATGCCCTGAACCCCCGCGCTCAATGGCTTTTATTGAGAGGGTTACCAGCGGGGGACAGATGGCAGGAGTGTATAGGTAATCTAATTACATCAGTATGTTAATGTTTACAGATAATAGGTGATGTTTTGAAGAAGACAAATGGCAAGAAACACACCAAATTGCTTGGTTCTGAGATGAGTGTAAACATAATGGTGCCAAATGGTTTAGGGTCAGGGCCCATGAATAATGTAAATTTCCTTCCCAGCATGAGCTGTTTATCTGATTATCAAGGTGAGAATAACAGAGCTTGAGGGAGAAACAAAGCACGCTTCAAGGAGTGTGATTTACTTCTAGGCCTGATTTCCCCTGAGGGTCCTTGGAGCTACCCTCGGGTCCTGCCTATCCACCACATTACCAATTTTCCAGCCAAGACTAATGGAGCCTCTTGCAGACCCCAACTTGTATGGGACTATAGTCACCAATATCACTCAAAGTGGCCCCCAACACTGGAGAACCACAGAAGAGGGAAGGTTCCGTGTAGTATGTCTCTTAGATGAATCTTTACAAAAAAGATCCTAAAACTTATCATATTTTCTAAAGACCAATTTCATTAGTTCAAAATAATTCCATCTCCTCTTTTCAAACAGCTGAATCTAGTGGATCTTTCAGCTCAGGACAACTCTTAATTTCTAGTAGAGAAATCAGGACATGGCAGAAGCCCATCGTATAGGTACTAATGTTAACAATAGCTACCTATAGTCACGGAGGACCCAGTGTGTGCTAGGCTGCTGGGCATACCTCATTAATAGTCACAGCAACCCTACGGTGTTGATGCTACTACTGTTTCCATTACTGCATTTGTAAGTAATGGAGTGAAGTTGGGTGCTGCCACACTTAGTCATTACACCATACCAGACACAGAGGTCCTTAGTTTAAAAATTTGCCTCCTTATCAACAGATGCATTTTGACAGCAAGTTGATTTCTCACCTGCATGAGTCCATTAAATGAACCATCAGAAACCTACATAGAAATGGAAATCATATTCCATTATTTTCCATCAATTTTTTAGGGTCAGTGAGTGGCTGTTAAGACAAGTTAGAAAGTAAAGACCACCACAAATTTTAAAATAATGGAAAAGGTGAGAGTGCACAGGAAATACAAAAGCCCATACTGTATATTTTAAATAGGCTGACAAAAAAAAAAAGATTACTTTTACAATTACTTCTGGTGTGTGGCTCAGGGATAACCAAAACCCACATTCTCAATAACGAGATGGTCCTGAAGAAAAACCATAAGGGGTTAAATAGATCTTCTTTTTAAGCCATTGATAGACTCTTAGAAGCATTTCTGTTATTTCTCTAACACAGCATTTTGTAGATTTTTTTGATGACAGCTATTATGAGATTCTACAGATTTAGTAGGCCTGGGTAGAAACATTTCATGTGTTCTTATTGGGGTAAACACTTAGAAAGTGAGTTAGTATGTTCTACATATTTTAAATACTTGAACAGTAAAAATAAAAGTAAAAAAAAATACAAAGACAACAAATGAATTGTAAAATAGACTCATTAATTCCAACATAATGGTCCTTTTTTTTTTTTTGTCAACCTATTTGTGTTTGGTTTGCACAGATTTCAAGAGGTAGACAAATGACAGCCTGTCAAAGATATGAGATAAGACTCAGAGAAGACAGTCATGGATCACAATGTAGGTGGGAAACATTAGGATGAGTAGAAACTCTATTATATACTGGGGTAAGTATCTCTTCTTTATCAGCCTCCGTTCCTTGGTACACCAATCCATATCTCTGGTTAGCAATTTCACCTTTAGATAAATATGAGTTGTGTTGCCATTGTCTTGGGGACTAGTGGAATTCTGGGAGGTTCTGAGAACCAACATTCTATCTTTCTCTTGGCTTTGTTCACAGCATCAATCTGTGAGATGTATGTGAGGTTTGTGAACAAGCCTCACATACATCTGTCACTAAGTCCAACTCCAGCCATCTTTCGCTCTCAAGTCTATCTAACTGTCCCCAGCAATTATCTAAGCCTCCCACAACGCTGACAGGCCAGGAATTAATAGACCTACACCAAGTGGCAAATACACTTTCTTGGTCACCTGGTACACCAGAAAATTCCAATATATCCATATTATTCGTTCATACTTGGCTGCAAGACTTGACCTGGATCAGTGTTCCAAGAGCCTGGTTTTGCAATTCTTGGCACAGCAGTTAATTGTATGACTACAGTTCCCAGTCACTGTACTTTCAGATCCTCCTATTAATGGATCTTCTGCCTTCCACAAACACCAGTCTCTTCTGTTTACATTAGTCTCCAGAGAATAATTACCATCTGTCCTAGACTGAGCTGTCAGTTCATGTTTCCTTGAGGAAAAAAAAAAAACCCAAACAGCCAGATTGTCATCCCTGTCACCTACAGGTGCATTTAACACACCTTCACACTGAATTTCGCAGCATCTCTCTTTCCCTGTGCTGAATGACATGGAGGGCCTATTAAATTTTTCTTTATTTTTTTTTTATCGCTAAATCCCTTCCCTCAGGGCTGGCATCTTCAAAATTAGACACAGAGTCAATCTTCAAGGAAAGATTCAAAATATTGGTGCGATTGCCAGGATTAGTCCAGAGCCCTCTACGATTTCACAATTATTTACGATTACTCCAATTCCCTCATCTAGCCCTTTCTCTCTGTCATTAAATTCATCTCTCATGTCTTTTTCTAATATGTCAGTTTTCTCAAAATACTTGTCACTGGTCTTTACAATTTCCGTACAGCTAACTCTTAGACCTTTCCTACTTTCCCTTTCACCAACTTTAGGGTCTCCTGGTCTTGCTTTCCCATTGTCTTAAGAATACCTACCACCTTGTTTCCTGTACTTTCACACACTTTTTCTTCAAATTCTGTACCTTCTAGTGTCTTGACATCAATAGTTCCAGTGTCTACCTTTTGACATGTCTCCACACCTGACCACATAGAATCTTCTGTCTTCTGTTTCTCTTCCCCTTCTTCTGACTTTTTAACATCTTCTGCACTTTCTTTGTTCAGGCCGCCAGTTCCCAGGGCTGACATTTCTGAGTCAGAAGTGTCATAAGACTGCCCCATCTCCATACAAGCAGCAATGGGAAATTCAGCCTGGGGCATGGACTTTGGGGGACAGTTGTTCATCTCCACATGGAGGATCTGGCCCAGGGAAACGCTCACCCTGTCCAGCTACAGTGTGCCAGTGAGTAAAAGGAAACTTTCCACGGATAATCCCATGTCTTGCTCTGCTTCAGAGAGATGTGCAGAGGCTTCCTGGGCATCGTGGGTAGTTTCCTGAGTGACACAGTCTATACCAGCATCAGGGCCCCAAATAAATGCACCTGGATCAATTTGAGATCTTTGAATTTCTTCAGCCAACCCACCATGTGGAGTTTCCTCCATGAACAGGTTACACAGGGAAAGAATTTTTGAGGAGTCAGAGTTTAGAGTATGCAGAACAACAAAGAAAAACAAAACATAAGATGAAATAGATCTTGGTAAGAGTTGATGAGAAACACAAAGCTCTCCAGTAGGGTGGCACCACTTAAATAAAACTGGAGAGTAGTTAAACCAAATAAATGGCTTAAAGTTAAAGCTGTAACCAGCAATGCCATGAGAAAGAAAAAAATCTCATTTTAGATAATATACTATGTATATAATGCACTGTTATATAATAACAGTGCACTGTTTTCTGGCTATTATACCACTGTTGCTTTAGCAGACTCTGAAATGCAAAGTTTTCAATAAATAAGCAAGCCTGAGAACATGAGAAGAGCTTCAGACACTAGCATGTACAAAAGTATCCAGTACCATCCGCTCTGACACAATCTAAGAAGAAACCATTCCCAAACACACCCTGCACTTTGTTCTGTCTCTGAGGTGGATTTTGGATGGAGGATAATCTGATACTAATCACTCTGACTGCCTGGAGGCTTCTCCTCAAATTCTACCCCAGTGCTAGAAGCTTTGTCGGGACACAAAGAATCAACATTGGGGAGCTGGAAAGGAGCTGAGAGGATCAAGACATGAAGTAATTATGTCCGGGAAGCTATTGTTTCACAGTGTCGTCACTGTTATCATTCCTAGCAAGTTTGTCCTCTAACGTAATCAATGTTCATTATGATACATTTACCCTCACCATGTACTTTTCAGCCAGGGAAAGAAAAATGTGGCATAGCTCCAACTAAAGGTATGAAATATTGGAGTAACAAAAAAAAAAAAAAAATTAACATTGTCCTCTTACTCTCCAAGAAAATGAACACAAAGTTGAGGCTAGAAATCCAATGTCCTGAACACTAATCCAGGCATCCCTTTCTGAGAATACAGAAGCCAAACCAGATCACTATAAAAGATGTTTTCAATCAACATTTTTTTAGCTCTTGAGAGCTTTCCAAGATGCTCCAAGGATCTGATGTAGCAGAGTATGACCCTGTTCCTGGGCAGCGGAGGGGACAGTCCCATTTTTCTTTTAAGGGAAAAAGTAGCAATGCCACTTCAGAAGACCACAGGCTCATGCATAGCTAGGTCATCCAAACTTTCCTGTTCCTGTGTCACTAAAGAAAGAAAACCTAAGGCTCAAGCGGAGTTCTTATGACCACACGACCAGGGCTGGTCTAACCAGGGTAGACAAAGGCTCTCCCCCAGGGCTGTGAGGCTCCACACGGTGCAGCCTCTGTGCTCATTTCACACCACAGGTGCTGCCACCACAAAGCTCTGATTGTGTCTCTTCCCCCGCTCTCAGTTCTGGAAGCTCTCCGCCTTGTGCTTCTCCCTTCTATCGATACATACCAGGCATTGGGCTAAATACTCTACAAATACAAATATTGTCTCACTTAAGGCTCACGTAACCCTCTGCAGTAGGTATGGTTACCCTTATTTTACACATGAGAGAAACTGTGGCTGAAAGACTTTTAGAAATTGCTTAAAGTCATACTGTTTTAAGAAGTAGAGTCTGGCCTCAAACGCAGGGCTGTCTGGCTCTAAAGCTCAAATTCTACTTGATTAAGCTTCAATGCATATAAAAATGAAAAAAATTCCCTGTGCAGAGTAGCCAATTCCTTACATTTTCTCATTTATAGTTTTCTTACATTCTATAAGCAATAACAAATGTGCACGGCCTTCCCTACAACATTTTTCGAGCCACTAATAATCACAGGAAGAAGCATAAGGGGCACATCCAATTCTTATTCACCTGGGAGTCTGGCACATGAATATTCATTTCCTTCCCGCCATTGCTAAGTGCTGGTAATGATGCTTGGAACCATCAGGGAGCTGATGCTTACTCTAGGCGATACATTGTTATTAAATGTGTTTGGGCCTTCTTTCCAAAGGTGAAATAAAATATACCAAGTTTTCTAAATTTCTAAGGATTCTGATACATTGAAATACAGTTCTTAGTAATCTTACCATCCACAGGTGCCAGGGCAACCTCTGAAAGCAGACAGGCAAACAAAAATACTGTTAGTATATAAATCACAAACATGTAAACATTACTGAGATGAAAAAAGTTCTTGAAATAAAATAATGAGCATTTTGAAATATGTAGTACAGCGCTGTTCAGCAGAACTTTCTTTGGTGATGAAACATTCCCTATCTGTGCTGTCTGATACAGTAGCCACTAGTCACACGTGGCTATTGAGAACTTGAAATGTGCTAGTGTAACAGAACCTAATTTTTCACTTTACCCACTTTTATTTTATTTAAATTTGTATAGCTAATTTTGGCTATTGTACCATATTGGATAGCACAGTTCTAATCAATGTGTGTTGCTATATAAGCAGAAACTATGTCTGAGCATGATGAATGGATTTACTTCAACACATGCACATACATATACTTATAAGTGAACATGTCAGATATGAGTTGCATGTTTGAGGAATGTGCAGATTCTAATTATTGCCAACGCCATTTCCTGTCTCCTCCATACAGAATTGAAGAGGATGCATTATGACCCATAATGGCAAATGAGCCCCAGAAAAATAATTCTTTAATAGGTTGAATCAGAGAAAAAATAGCTCAATTAATTGTAATCATGAAAATTATTAGTAGGGGCCCCAAAAACATATGTATTAATTGTGTTTACTACTGTGATTTTAATGATAAAACTGATGATCCTGGGGACTGAGTCCACATGGTTCAAAAGTGACTTGCCCTGTGTGTAGGGAAAGTCGGGAAAACCCTCTTTTTCTTACGTCCTCCATGTTTGAGAACTACTGCTAAGCCTCATAATTTTTGCCCATGATTAGAATTAACCCACATTCATGTGTTTGTTTTGCATCAGTAAATGTGAACAAGCAAGTTAGGGAATCTGGCACTCCCATCTCAAGAATCTGACAGTTTCCAGATGTGACTACAGATGTCTCATCTGGATTCTGTACCCCAGACTCTGGGCCCCGGGGTTCTGACCGAGCCCCGCCGCTTGCTCTGGGCCTGCTCTCACTGCGCCGCCCACACACCCTGCATCCCTGCGCAGCCTGCTCGGTCTCGGGGGTTAGCATCTACTTCTAGGATGACTAAGACAGAGAGTAGAGCAGCTCCACTGAAAACCGCGGGTATTGGGACATGGACTCCTATCATTTAATAGACATTTTCTGATCACCCAGATGATTTCTGTTTTCTTGCTTCCTAGGGCCTTAAGAACCGCAGCTCCTAAAAGCTGCTACACATGCCTGTGCAATGCAGACAGCAGCAGTGCTTTCTCCCAGGTAAGGCAGCAATTGAACCATCATGTTTATCAGGTCTCGGCATCATGAAAGCTCCTGCGCACACAGCAGAGATCACAAGGTGAAGTGCTCTGCTGGCAGCAAGGACATCAGCCTAAAACATGGGATCAGGTGGTGGGTGAGGGAGGACACTTTGACTGAAGGGGAGAGAAGACCAGTAGAATCTAACAGCTCTGTTCTTCTTATTGTCTCAGCCTAAGATGTCTTAGCAAAAGGGAAGAGATATAATTAGAACTGGATCACAGGCCAGCTCCACACTGTGGTGAGTCAATCATGGCTACTGGGAAGCTAGAGCAGTTCATTAATTGCCCCCCCAAAAAAAATTCATTGGCACATGCAAATTTCCCAATTGCAATAATAGTTTTTTCTTTAGAACCAAGATTTTAAAGACTTAACCAAAATCCTTTTAAAAACAATTCTGAAAACATCTTGGTTTGAAAGCTGCACAAACTTTCATAATTTGTGGATTAATTTACTCATGCATTGATAAAAAAAGAGGTTTCTCTCTTGATTCAAACTTCCAGACAGAAATGCTGTGGAATCTCACCCACTGATCATCACAGCATCCACTGCTGAGCTTTTCCTTCCCACATTAAGTAATGAATGGTGGAAAGTAATCTACTTTCCTCCCTCATACTTTGCCTTAATTTGCAAAGTATGAGGGAGGAAAGTAGAGAAAACAGTAAGAAAGTTAAACTCAGCCAAAAGAGACAGCTTTATTTAGGGAAGCCATAAAATATGTTATCCAAACCTGGATACCTTTGAGTGCAAAAAGGAAGTACTCTTAACAATTACTCTAAGATAGATGATTCCTGGACAAACGGGAATGCATGGTTATTCCGGCTCTATGGATAGAGAAAGCTAATGGTAGGGGGAGCTCTAGAATCACTGATATTGATAAGGTTCTCTTTTTACCCTTCCTTCCCATTGGGAAATATTTGTGAACCAAAAAAAAAAAAAAGAAAAGTAGATAGTCATTTGAAAGGGAGAGGGATCACTGAAATGCATCTGTATGTTACTGAGCTTATTACAATTTATGAAACGTCATTGCTAAACATCATAAAAGTGACTAAATAACTGTGACACAGGAGACTAGGTCACTGCAGAAGAACCTGCAGAGGCTTCCTCAGGCTTGAAAGGGTCAAAATCCAGATCCACCAAAGTCTCCTCTTTCTTCACCTCAGGGACTTCATTCTGTCAAAACAAAACAAAACAAAAACAAAACAAAACAAAACAAAACACACATGTACAGCTTGAATCTGACAAGACTTCATCATATAACCCATGTAAACCTCTAATATCGGTCAATGTCCCAAAAGCAAGCTTTGGCAGTTTACCATTTTGGTAGCTCATCCATGTGCTCTCAGAGTCACCAGCTAAATGGGATGAGAGGGGAAATAACCAACTCTGGCGGAGCATGAC